GGCTGGTCAACCACAGTAGATTAAGTAAGTAAGTAAGGCCTTGTTTGAAAGTGACAATTACTTGATAACATCTACAGTAAAGTAAGTTCCTGCGACCAAAAAACAAATTAACATCACGTTTCAAAACCAACAATGCCTGCCCTACATTTATGTGTAATAAAATTGAAATTCTCTTTTGTATTTTCAAATAAGGTTGACACTGAGGAAGAAGAAGAGGAAGACAAAGAAGACAGTCCTGCTCCAACAGACTCTGTAAGTGTCGAGTTTATTGATAATATAATATATAAAATATAGAGTGCAGGATGCCAAGAAAGTCATGTCTGTTAGCCTGGTGCTATTTGATTTTGTAGTGGAGCTAGTCTATGGGAAAGTGAAAATTTGAATTCTTCTTACCGAAGTACTATAAGAAATGGTGTTGTTGTAATTTCTAATTAATTATTGCACTAATTAAAAAATTTCGGGAGGGTTAGTATTAAACGCATTTGGGCAACTAGTACATAAGTATTTCCAATTAATTTACCTCATCATTAGTCCCATAAGTCAAAATGTCAATTCTCCTCTCTGATTGCTTTATGTTTCAGTTATGTTCGTTGGGAGAATTTTGTGCTGTATCAAGGAAATTTTCCCACTAATATTCTATATTGCTTCACAATATAGAAAGAAATTGGGATTGAGAAATTTTTTTGATTTTGTTTTTCTGTAGAAAACTGATGCTGAAGCAAGTGAAGAGGAAGAAGAAAAAGAAGAAACTCCCAAGCCATCTCCAGATGCTGATACAGTGATTCTCTTTACCAAACCCTCTAACCAAGGTTTGTTCACTGCTCCTGTATTTGATTTGTTTTAGCACTTGACAAACTTAAATTATGTGTAATTAGGATTATTAAGTTTCTGAAATTTAATTGCTTGGTCCCACAAGCCTTTGGCTAAAAACGTTGACCAAGTGTAAATAAAGGTTGTAAATTATTTTATTCTATTTTTTTCAAATTGCATGAAAAAGGTTTTTCACTGTTTAAGTTTGGCTCTGTCCTCAGAATTTGCTACATTTAGTAACTAGTAACTAGTTCATGAGATAAATCAAATTCTGGCAATTCCATATCAAATTACAACCTTTTTGTAATGCACTGTTTCATCAGCAATATATCAATATATCTTCATCTTCACAAAGAAGATGAAGCACCTTGAAAATTCTGAGGATTGGAAACTACATGCATGTGTCCAAAACTCTCTGTTTGACCTGTAGTGCCATCGTTATACAGGGTCTGGAGACAAATTTAAGTATGCAAGGTCTACTTCTGCAGTGTTGAGTGCATATTTGAAATATGTCAAATTTGCTGTAAATTGACTCAATTAAGCTCTCAATATTACTTTTGTCTAAAAAGTTGGTCGTCAGCACACTTGCACACAATTCTGCCTAAAGATCTGGTTTTGACAAAATGCAATGAACACTGTCAGTTGCCTGTAGGGAATGCAAGTAAGTAAGGGCTTAATTTATGTAAGGTAATCCACTGTGTCTGTTCTTCATGGATAGAATTTCCTGCTGGTGAAGTGATCAAGTGTCTCATTGGTCTGGGAAATAATGGCAAGAATGATTTCATTGTGGAACTTGTTGAAGCATCTCTAAGGTAACTACATCCTATCAGATGTTTTGCTCTACACAATAATTTGTATTTCACGTCTCTCAGCATTTCTGCAGCATTTTTTTAGCACTTCCAGGACTGTTCCGTATTTTGAAGGCAGTCTCATTTTAGAATCAGAAATTTCTATGTTGCTTACCTGGTTGGGTTAAGTATTTGTCAATATTCCATATCAAAATTGGCAAAGAGGGTATCAGTCTGGATGTTGCTATTGCTTTAAAGTGATTTTATTGAAATATGTTATTTTCAGGTACCCTCAAGATTACACATACTACATTCAAAATGTAAGTACAATGTACGTGTAAAAAATGTTGTCATTATCTCTCATACACAGTGACTTTGGAATACTCAGAAAGTACTTAAAACTTATCAGCCTCTCTGATTGTAAACATTATTTTGTTATTGCTACAGTTCACTGGATTCCAGTATAACACAGTTGTACAGCCAGGCAGTCAGGTATGTCCTCAACATTCACTTGCTGAGTTTTAAAAATATTTGAGAGAAATTGTTCAGTTATGTTTATTTACATTCAGATATATTTGAATATTGTTTTTGATTTTGGCTCTTGTAGGTGATGGTTGGGTTAGTGCTCTGTCATCTTTTTTGCTCTGTAGCTTTGAATCATTTTAGTTATTCAGTGTAACTTACCACATTCAATTAAAATATGTTGATGTGTACATGTAATAATGAGATTACATTGTCTTTTTATTTGTGACTTCAACAGGCTTCTTTTGAATATGCGTTCAAGCCTCATGAATCTTTTGGAGGACGCCCATTTGGTCTAACTATTAACTTGGCATACAAGGATTCGGTGAGATATTTATGCTGAAAAAGCCAATCAATAAAGCAAGGCAGGAAAAAACCCAGGTCCGATTGCCCAGGGCAAGTAAATTTTGCTCTTGGGCAAGTGACAAGAGAAGTTCAGTGGCCCCAGGGGCAAGTAAAATAAGCCTCAGTAGTCTTGTGAGTCTGAATAAAAATATCAACTTGATAAATGAAAATTTTCAGTCAGAAGCTATTTCAAAACTTAAGACTACAAGATTAGTTAACCACTAGATTGAAAGCTTGGATTAGTTCGGAATCCAAGCATACTTTGTGCACTGATGTTAATTTCAGATATGTAGTATTTTGTCATTTATATGTCAAGTAATCTGCTGTATACTTGGCAATAACTACAGCTCACAGACAATGAAGGGTCGTTTTTTTTTTTCTGTTCAACATAGGAAGGCAAGCCATTCATGGATGCAGTGTTCAATNGGCTGGTCAACCACAGTAGATTAAGTAAGTAAGTAAGGCCTTGTTTGAAAGTGACAATTACTTGATAACATCTACAGTAAAGTAAGTTCCTGCGACCAAAAAACAAATTAACATCACGTTTCAAAACCAACAATGCCTGCCCTACATTTATGTGTAATAAAATTGAAATTCTCTTTTGTATTTTCAAATAAGGTTGACACTGAGGAAGAAGAAGAGGAAGACAAAGAAGACAGTCCTGCTCCAACAGACTCTGTAAGTGTCGAGTTTATTGATAATATAATATATAAAATATAGAGTGCAGGATGCCAAGAAAGTCATGTCTGTTAGCCTGGTGCTATTTGATTTTGTAGTGGAGCTAGTCTATGGGAAAGTGAAAATTTGAATTCTTCTTACCGAAGTACTATAAGAAATGGTGTTGTTGTAATTTCTAATTAATTATTGCACTAATTAAAAAATTTCGGGAGGGTTAGTATTAAACGCATTTGGGCAACTAGTACATAAGTATTTCCAATTAATTTACCTCATCATTAGTCCCATAAGTCAAAATGTCAATTCTCCTCTCTGATTGCTTTATGTTTCAGTTATGTTCGTTGGGAGAATTTTGTGCTGTATCAAGGAAATTTTCCCACTAATATTCTATATTGCTTCACAATATAGAAAGAAATTGGGATTGAGAAATTTTTTTGATTTTGTTTTTCTGTAGAAAACTGATGCTGAAGCAAGTGAAGAGGAAGAAGAAAAAGAAGAAACTCCCAAGCCATCTCCAGATGCTGATACAGTGATTCTCTTTACCAAACCCTCTAACCAAGGTTTGTTCACTGCTCCTGTATTTGATTTGTTTTAGCACTTGACAAACTTAAATTATGTGTAATTAGGATTATTAAGTTTCTGAAATTTAATTGCTTGGTCCCACAAGCCTTTGGCTAAAAACGTTGACCAAGTGTAAATAAAGGTTGTAAATTATTTTATTCTATTTTTTTCAAATTGCATGAAAAAGGTTTTTCACTGTTTAAGTTTGGCTCTGTCCTCAGAATTTGCTACATTTAGTAACTAGTAACTAGTTCATGAGATAAATCAAATTCTGGCAATTCCATATCAAATTACAACCTTTTTGTAATGCACTGTTTCATCAGCAATATATCAATATATCTTCATCTTCACAAAGAAGATGAAGCACCTTGAAAATTCTGAGGATTGGAAACTACATGCATGTGTCCAAAACTCTCTGTTTGACCTGTAGTGCCATCGTTATACAGGGTCTGGAGACAAATTTAAGTATGCAAGGTCTACTTCTGCAGTGTTGAGTGCATATTTGAAATATGTCAAATTTGCTGTAAATTGACTCAATTAAGCTCTCAATATTACTTTTGTCTAAAAAGTTGGTCGTCAGCACACTTGCACACAATTCTGCCTAAAGATCTGGTTTTGACAAAATGCAATGAACACTGTCAGTTGCCTGTAGGGAATGCAAGTAAGTAAGGGCTTAATTTATGTAAGGTAATCCACTGTGTCTGTTCTTCATGGATAGAATTTCCTGCTGGTGAAGTGATCAAGTGTCTCATTGGTCTGGGAAATAATGGCAAGAATGATTTCATTGTGGAACTTGTTGAAGCATCTCTAAGGTAACTACATCCTATCAGATGTTTTGCTCTACACAATAATTTGTATTTCACGTCTCTCAGCATTTCTGCAGCATTTTTTTAGCACTTCCAGGACTGTTCCGTATTTTGAAGGCAGTCTCATTTTAGAATCAGAAATTTCTATGTTGCTTACCTGGTTGGGTTAAGTATTTGTCAATATTCCATATCAAAATTGGCAAAGAGGGTATCAGTCTGGATGTTGCTATTGCTTTAAAGTGATTTTATTGAAATATGTTATTTTCAGGTACCCTCAAGATTACACATACTACATTCAAAATGTAAGTACAATGTACGTGTAAAAAATGTTGTCATTATCTCTCATACACAGTGACTTTGGAATACTCAGAAAGTACTTAAAACTTATCAGCCTCTCTGATTGTAAACATTATTTTGTTATTGCTACAGTTCACTGGATTCCAGTATAACACAGTTGTACAGCCAGGCAGTCAGGTATGTCCTCAACATTCACTTGCTGAGTTTTAAAAATATTTGAGAGAAATTGTTCAGTTATGTTTATTTACATTCAGATATATTTGAATATTGTTTTTGATTTTGGCTCTTGTAGGTGATGGTTGGGTTAGTGCTCTGTCATCTTTTTTGCTCTGTAGCTTTGAATCATTTTAGTTATTCAGTGTAACTTACCACATTCAATTAAAATATGTTGATGTGTACATGTAATAATGAGATTACATTGTCTTTTTATTTGTGACTTCAACAGGCTTCTTTTGAATATGCATTCAAGCCTCACGAGTCTTTTGGAGGACGCCCATTTGGTCTAACTATTAACTTGGCATACAAGGATTCGGTGAGATATTTATGGTGAAAAAGCCAATCAATAAAGCAGGGCAGGGAAAAACCCAGGTCCGATTGCCCAGGGCAAGTAAATTTTGCTCTTGGGCAAGTGACAACAGAAGTTCAGTGGCCCCAGGGGGCAAGTGAAATTAGCCTCAGTAGTCTTGTGAGTCTGAATAAAAATATCAACTTGATAAATGAAAATTTCCAGTCAGAAGCTATTTCAAAACTGAAGACTACAAGATTAGTTAACCACTAGATTGTAAGCTTGGATTAGTTAGGAATCCAAGCATACTTTGTGCACTGATGTTAATTTCAGATATGTAGTATTTTGTTATTTATATGTCAAGTAATCTGCTGTATACTTGTCAGTAACTACAGGTCACAGACAATGAAAGGTCGTTTTTTTTCTGTTCAACATAGGAAGGCAAGCCATTCATGGATGCAGTGTTCAATGAAACAATTAACATTACAGAAAGCGATGAAGGAATTGATGGTGAAACGTAAGAACTGCTTGGTTAATTGATTAAAATGTCATCTTGCATTCATGATGCTTAATTTAATAGAGTTTAGCTTAGAGAGCTTGATGATATTTCAAGAAATTGTTATTGTTTTTTTGTTAATCTCATCTTATTACATTGTAGAATGAACCAAATCCTGCACTGTCATTGGCTACTCAAGCAGGCAGGATTTTTTGGCAGGTTATCTTGCCTGCTTTGGCCTACAAGAAAATGGTGCTCTTTGTGCCATATACATGTAATAAGCACTGTCTACCTTTCCTTGTTTGGTCCAGATGTCTAGAGTGAGACTCATTTTCCTATAGTGAGCTGTCTTAACCTCACACTTGGTCAATAAACCATATATCTATGATGTCTTGATACCTTTGTAAAAAAGTTGTTATAATAGTTGATTGCTCCATGAAGGGTTTATTTTAAAGTAAAAGATTTGGTTTGTTTGTTTTTGTTTTTTTTTCAGTTTCTTCCTGTATGTGTTCTTGGTAGCGGTTGCTCTGTTGTTGGTCATGGCTGGCCACNTCAATGAAACAATTAACATTACAGAAAGTGACGAAGGAATTGATGGTGAAACGTAAGAACTGCTTGGTTAATTGATTAAAATGTCATCTTGCATTCATGATGCTTAATTTAATAGAGTTTCGCTTAGAGAGCTTGATGATATTTAAAGAAATAGTTATTGTTTTTTTATTAATCTCATCTTATTACATTGGAAAATGAACCAAATCCTGAACTGGGATTGGCTACTCAAGCAGGCAAGATTTTTTGGCAGGTTATCTTGCCTGCTTTGTCCTACAAGGAAATGGTGCTCTTTGTGCCATATAGTAAGTACTGTCTACCTTTCCTTGTTTGGTCAAGATGTCTAGAGTGAGACTTGTTTTCCTATAGTGAGCTGTCTTGACCTCACACTTGGTCAATAAACCATATATCTATGACTTCTTGATACCTTTGTAAAAAAGGTTGTTATATTAGGTGATTGCTCCATGAAGAGTTCATTTTAAAGTAAAAGCTTTGGTTTGTTTGTTTTTTTTTTTTCAGTTTCTTCCTGTATGTGTTCTTGGTAGCGGTTGCTCTGTTGTTGGTCATGGCTGGCCACTATGCCTTGACTTCTGTGAAGGTAAACTGAGAGCTTGCATTTAACAGGCAGTAATAATTTTTTATGTAGTAGAACATGTAAAATGTAAATGTAAATCTTATTTATAGTGGTCATGCACTTAGCTATACAAGCGCTAAGCTTGGCTAGTTTACAGGCATGCCACTAAAACAAAGGAAACAAATATTTCAAAATAAACATAACATAGTGAAAAATCCCAACCGGCAGGAGGCAGACCAGTTGGCTATTTACAAAGCGGGACCAAGGATTTGAACTTGGAACTACCGAGAGACAAATGCCACTAGTGGCAGGGTGGAGGCCTTGAACCTGGGACCTCGAGATTACAACACCAGTGCCCTAAACCACTCGGCCATGCTGCCTCCTGTAAATGCAGAAATAATGTCCTCAGCCCCTGTCAGTCCACTATTAAGGTGGTGTAGACAAAATCCAAATGGCCTGACATTGGAAAGAAATTGAGGTGTAATTTTTTCATAAATGAGAGTAGTATAAGATTGGTTCTTAGTCTTTCTTTCTTTTCTTACAAAGGGCAAGAAACCAGCTGCTAAGCCAGTAATTGAGATGGGTACACAACAGAACACTGATATTGACTATGACTGGCTGCCAAAAGAAACCACAACAGAATTTGGTATGTTGTGATTTATGAACAAGCTTGTCACATGCCCTGAGCATGACTGCATTAATATCATAGGTAGTTTCTCTGATTTTAATTGTCCCAGGTAAAGCATAGCTACACCTCTGTAACGACCATGATGTTATATTTTAAAACAAGTATACTTACCAACAAGAGGGTGAACATAAATATGATGCAACTTCACGTGTGGTGGTTACTTGTGTTGTCTGATTTGGACTTATTGTCCCTCAATGGCATATTTCTGCCTATAATATTCTGACAAACTTGTTACAAAATAATCAATATGTATGCGATAATTAAGCCAAGTTGGTCCATCTTTGTGTTGTGATACCTATAATATTTTCTTCTTGTCTCTCTTTGTAGCTGGCAAAAATTCTCCACGTCGCTCACCAAGAAACAGGCGGCAGAAACGTAACACAGGCTCTGACGAATAGATATAAGTTATTACACTTCTTCAATGTAAACTTCCTGAAGCCATTATCTTGGTGTTTAAAGAAAGTCTGAATCATAAACTAAAATATTTCTTAGAAAGATTATGAGGCAGTTTGTTTATTGGCAGACAGCTTCTATAGGCAGACAACCCATGTCAGCAGACAATTTGTCACAATCCCCACCATGTACAAAGACTACGTGGTTAACCTTCCATAACTGGACATCTACTGAAAGCGGAAAAATAATTTTCTTATTCAATGGTTGTCCACTTATGGGAGGCTTGACCTTGCTTTTTTTTTCTTTAGTCTGCTCAACACAGAATAGAAAGCTTTTACAATCAGATGCCATACAGTCTTATGCTTGACAAAGTTTTCAACTTATTTTGATCAGCCTCTGTTGGTTTCCCTTTACTTGTCTAGTTAAAAACCAAGTTTTGGTGAGAAGCAGAAGTCAGACCTGTTGATAAATTAAACATTTAAGTCCTTTGGTCTTTGATTGGTTGACAACTGTGGCAAGCATCAACAGTATGGTTAATTTTAATAAATTTCTCAGAGCTAAGGAAACGAGTTACAATCTAACATTGTTCAACTAAAATGGCTGCAGAACACACTTCATGTACAATTCCTGACTTCAAAGCTGGAGTTTTTACACTAAAAGATATTGAATAAATACAATATTTCAAAGTAGTGAGATTTGGTCTTTTTGTTTCTTTCCTGACTAAGCTTGACCAGGAACCATTGTTGTCATTGTTGTCATTTCTCCTTCCACTTGACTCTGAAAGACGCCTTTAATACTGACAGTGGAATTGGNGGCTGGTCAACCACAGTAGATTAAGTAAGTAAGTAAGGCCTTGTTTGAAAGTGACAATTACTTGATAACATCTACAGTAAAGTAAGTTCCTGCGACCAAAAAACAAATTAACATCACGTTTCAAAACCAACAATGCCTGCCCTACATTTATGTGTAATAAAATTGAAATTCTCTTTTGTATTTTCAAATAAGGTTGACACTGAGGAAGAAGAAGAGGAAGACAAAGAAGACAGTCCTGCTCCAACAGACTCTGTAAGTGTCGAGTTTATTGATAATATAATATATAAAATATAGAGTGCAGGATGCCAAGAAAGTCATGTCTGTTAGCCTGGTGCTATTTGATTTTGTAGTGGAGCTAGTCTATGGGAAAGTGAAAATTTGAATTCTTCTTACCGAAGTACTATAAGAAATGGTGTTGTTGTAATTTCTAATTAATTATTGCACTAATTAAAAAATTTCGGGAGGGTTAGTATTAAACGCATTTGGGCAACTAGTACATAAGTATTTCCAATTAATTTACCTCATCATTAGTCCCATAAGTCAAAATGTCAATTCTCCTCTCTGATTGCTTTATGTTTCAGTTATGTTCGTTGGGAGAATTTTGTGCTGTATCAAGGAAATTTTCCCACTAATATTCTATATTGCTTCACAATATAGAAAGAAATTGGGATTGAGAAATTTTTTTGATTTTGTTTTTCTGTAGAAAACTGATGCTGAAGCAAGTGAAGAGGAAGAAGAAAAAGAAGAAACTCCCAAGCCATCTCCAGATGCTGATACAGTGATTCTCTTTACCAAACCCTCTAACCAAGGTTTGTTCACTGCTCCTGTATTTGATTTGTTTTAGCACTTGACAAACTTAAATTATGTGTAATTAGGATTATTAAGTTTCTGAAATTTAATTGCTTGGTCCCACAAGCCTTTGGCTAAAAACGTTGACCAAGTGTAAATAAAGGTTGTAAATTATTTTATTCTATTTTTTTCAAATTGCATGAAAAAGGTTTTTCACTGTTTAAGTTTGGCTCTGTCCTCAGAATTTGCTACATTTAGTAACTAGTAACTAGTTCATGAGATAAATCAAATTCTGGCAATTCCATATCAAATTACAACCTTTTTGTAATGCACTGTTTCATCAGCAATATATCAATATATCTTCATCTTCACAAAGAAGATGAAGCACCTTGAAAATTCTGAGGATTGGAAACTACATGCATGTGTCCAAAACTCTCTGTTTGACCTGTAGTGCCATCGTTATACAGGGTCTGGAGACAAATTTAAGTATGCAAGGTCTACTTCTGCAGTGTTGAGTGCATATTTGAAATATGTCAAATTTGCTGTAAATTGACTCAATTAAGCTCTCAATATTACTTTTGTCTAAAAAGTTGGTCGTCAGCACACTTGCACACAATTCTGCCTAAAGATCTGGTTTTGACAAAATGCAATGAACACTGTCAGTTGCCTGTAGGGAATGCAAGTAAGTAAGGGCTTAATTTATGTAAGGTAATCCACTGTGTCTGTTCTTCATGGATAGAATTTCCTGCTGGTGAAGTGATCAAGTGTCTCATTGGTCTGGGAAATAATGGCAAGAATGATTTCATTGTGGAACTTGTTGAAGCATCTCTAAGGTAACTACATCCTATCAGATGTTTTGCTCTACACAATAATTTGTATTTCACGTCTCTCAGCATTTCTGCAGCATTTTTTTAGCACTTCCAGGACTGTTCCGTATTTTGAAGGCAGTCTCATTTTAGAATCAGAAATTTCTATGTTGCTTACCTGGTTGGGTTAAGTATTTGTCAATATTCCATATCAAAATTGGCAAAGAGGGTATCAGTCTGGATGTTGCTATTGCTTTAAAGTGATTTTATTGAAATATGTTATTTTCAGGTACCCTCAAGATTACACATACTACATTCAAAATGTAAGTACAATGTACGTGTAAAAAATGTTGTCATTATCTCTCATACACAGTGACTTTGGAATACTCAGAAAGTACTTAAAACTTATCAGCCTCTCTGATTGTAAACATTATTTTGTTATTGCTACAGTTCACTGGATTCCAGTATAACACAGTTGTACAGCCAGGCAGTCAGGTATGTCCTCAACATTCACTTGCTGAGTTTTAAAAATATTTGAGAGAAATTGTTCAGTTATGTTTATTTACATTCAGATATATTTGAATATTGTTTTTGATTTTGGCTCTTGTAGGTGATGGTTGGGTTAGTGCTCTGTCATCTTTTTTGCTCTGTAGCTTTGAATCATTTTAGTTATTCAGTGTAACTTACCACATTCAATTAAAATATGTTGATGTGTACATGTAATAATGAGATTACATTGTCTTTTTATTTGTGACTTCAACAGGCTTCTTTTGAATATGCGTTCAAGCCTCATGAATCTTTTGGAGGACGCCCATTTGGTCTAACTATTAACTTGGCATACAAGGATTCGGTGAGATATTTATGCTGAAAAAGCCAATCAATAAAGCAAGGCAGGAAAAAACCCAGGTCCGATTGCCCAGGGCAAGTAAATTTTGCTCTTGGGCAAGTGACAAGAGAAGTTCAGTGGCCCCAGGGGCAAGTAAAATAAGCCTCAGTAGTCTTGTGAGTCTGAATAAAAATATCAACTTGATAAATGAAAATTTTCAGTCAGAAGCTATTTCAAAACTTAAGACTACAAGATTAGTTAACCACTAGATTGAAAGCTTGGATTAGTTCGGAATCCAAGCATACTTTGTGCACTGATGTTAATTTCAGATATGTAGTATTTTGTCATTTATATGTCAAGTAATCTGCTGTATACTTGGCAATAACTACAGCTCACAGACAATGAAGGGTCGTTTTTTTTTTTCTGTTCAACATAGGAAGGCAAGCCATTCATGGATGCAGTGTTCAATGAAACAATTAACATTACAGAAAGTGACGAAGGAATTGATGGTGAAACGTAAGAACTGCTTGGTTAATTGATTAAAATGTCATCTTGCATTCATGATGCTTAATTTAATAGAGTTTCGCTTAGAGAGCTTGATGATATTTAAAGAAATAGTTATTGTTTTTTTATTAATCTCATCTTATTACATTGGAAAATGAACCAAATCCTGAACTGGGATTGGCTACTCAAGCAGGCAAGATTTTTTGGCAGGTTATCTTGCCTGCTTTGTCCTACAAGGAAATGGTGCTCTTTGTGCCATATAGTAAGTACTGTCTACCTTTCCTTGTTTGGTCAAGATGTCTAGAGTGAGACTTGTTTTCCTATAGTGAGCTGTCTTGACCTCACACTTGGTCAATAAACCATATATCTATGACTTCTTGATACCTTTGTAAAAAAGGTTGTTATATTAGGTGATTGCTCCATGAAGAGTTCATTTTAAAGTAAAAGCTTTGGTTTGTTTGTTTTTTTTTTTTCAGTTTCTTCCTGTATGTGTTCTTGGTAGCGGTTGCTCTGTTGTTGGTCATGGCTGGCCACTATGCCTTGACTTCTGTGAAGGTAAACTGAGAGCTTGCATTTAACAGGCAGTAATAATTTTTTATGTAGTAGAACATGTAAAATGTAAATGTAAATCTTATTTATAGTGGTCATGCACTTAGCTATACAAGCGCTAAGCTTGGCTAGTTTACAGGCATGCCACTAAAACAAAGGAAACAAATATTTCAAAATAAACATAACATAGTGAAAAATCCCAACCGGCAGGAGGCAGACCAGTTGGCTATTTACAAAGCGGGACCAAGGATTTGAACTTGGAACTACCGAGAGACAAATGCCACTAGTGGCAGGGTGGAGGCCTTGAACCTGGGACCTCGAGATTACAACACCAGTGCCCTAAACCACTCGGCCATGCTGCCTCCTGTAAATGCAGAAATAATGTCCTCAGCCCCTGTCAGTCCACTATTAAGGTGGTGTAGACAAAATCCAAATGGCCTGACATTGGAAAGAAATTGAGGTGTAATTTTTTCATAAATGAGAGTAGTATAAGATTGGTTCTTAGTCTTTCTTTCTTTTCTTACAAAGGGCAAGAAACCAGCTGCTAAGCCAGTAATTGAGATGGGTACACAACAGAACACTGATATTGACTATGACTGGCTGCCAAAAGAAACCACAACAGAATTTGGTATGTTGTGATTTATGAACAAGCTTGTCACATGCCCTGAGCATGACTGCATTAATATCATAGGTAGTTTCTCTGATTTTAATTGTCCCAGGTAAAGCATAGCTACACCTCTGTAACGACCATGATGTTATATTTTAAAACAAGTATACTTACCAACAAGAGGGTGAACATAAATATGATGCAACTTCACGTGTGGTGGTTACTTGTGTTGTCTGATTTGGACTTATTGTCCCTCAATGGCATATTTCTGCCTATAATATTCTGACAAACTTGTTACAAAATAATCAATATGTATGCGATAATTAAGCCAAGTTGGTCCATCTTTGTGTTGTGATACCTATAATATTTTCTTCTTGTCTCTCTTTGTAGCTGGCAAAAATTCTCCACGTCGCTCACCAAGAAACAGGCGGCAGAAACGTAACACAGGCTCTGACGAATAGATATAAGTTATTACACTTCTTCAATGTAAACTTCCTGAAGCCATTATCTTGGTGTTTAAAGAAAGTCTGAATCATAAACTAAAATATTTCTTAGAAAGATTATGAGGCAGTTTGTTTATTGGCAGACAGCTTCTATAGGCAGACAACCCATGTCAGCAGACAATTTGTCACAATCCCCACCATGTACAAAGACTACGTGGTTAACCTTCCATAACTGGACATCTACTGAAAGCGGAAAAATAATTTTCTTATTCAATGGTTGTCCACTTATGGGAGGCTTGACCTTGCTTTTTTTTTCTTTAGTCTGCTCAACACAGAATAGAAAGCTTTTACAATCAGATGCCATACA